TCCTCAGAGCTCACTCCAAAAAGGCCAGAAGATATGATTGTTTCTTTTTCCAGCTTTTATCCATCAAAAATTATGGGATTCATTCTCTTGTTTGTCCAATCTTTTTCAAGCAAAATGAGCTGATCCCTTATTTTGTTGATTGACCTTCCACCTGAAAACTATCATTTCAATTGAGGCATATCACATGTCAAACCCCTGCTTTCTCTATTTGATATAATTGATATTATCATATAAAGATGGCAACACATAATTGAACTACCCTTGGATTTGACTTATTAAAAAAAAAAAACTAAATTCAATCTAACAATTAATAAATATTGATAATTAGCGGACTATTAGTTTAACTGTAAGGTCGAAAGATTAACATTACAAACTCTGTATGCACACCGAACTAAATCTGATTGTTAATATAATTGTGTTGGGTGGCACTTAACGGTATTGACCGACCAAGTATAGCATCATGTTGATACGTACAAACAAATTATATGTAATCTTATTACATATTCTGATAATTAATAATGTGTCCCTTCCACTCAACCACACCCTCCAGGTTACTTCAAGTTTCATTAACAGTACTTTTAGAATATTATATACACGTCAAGTTAATTTTATCCATAAAATTTTTGTACTATGTTAGTTGGAGTTTCTTAAGATTTTTTGTCCGGGTCTTTCTCTGTCCGTTTAACGGTCCAGGTCCACCTGGTTCGCTCCGAGAGGCACAGAAACTGGCCCGAATCAAACCCTGGTTATCCCAAAATTCTTCCCCACAAAGAGAACTTATTTGCCTATTGAGCTACCCTGTTGGGTGGAGTTTCTTAAGATACATAGTATATATTACTGCATTAGGACCACATCAAGTGAGTCTAGTGATCCATTAATAAGCTTTGAGAGTGATAATAATGAGAGACAAAGATAGTTGAGTTGGAAGTAGCTTTGCACTTCATCCACAAAATAAGTGGGGCTTTGCTCTATTATTTATGCTACTATACATATATCAAATTTTGACGTAAAATCCCGAAAGAAGTGATTTAATGGATGAAGTATGATTCTCGTATCATAACGTCACGAGTTTAGTTTTTGTTAACATACTCTCGGTCAAGCTCACCACATAAAAATCATCATAGTAGTGCCCTCTTGTGTGGTTTACTCCTAGTGTACAAACACTTTTTTTTTTTTTTTGTAAGGTCTATACAATATTATTAAATTTAAAAATCAAATCGGAAAGAAAAGGGGAAAATATCTACAAACCTTTAATGAGCAATGATAACTAGAATTAATTGCAGCATTTTATTATGTCCTCTGACTAATTTAATAAATTTTTTCACATAATTAGCTATCATGTCAATTTTTTCGTTCCAAATTTTCAAGGGTATAACATGACTGTTTTATTAACTAATCTACAGATATTATATTATAACTTAGCTTCATGGGTGACCACATACATGTTGTATGACTTGATTCCTACTTAGTAAAGGTATATAATTGACATTGTTTTGAGTACTAGTGTACAAACATTTTGGGAGAATGTATTCCGCGATTTACCTTCTTCACCAAATTTTCGAACGTCGAACCCATCACAAAGTAATCTAGCTCGGTTAATCGATCTAAATCTAATTTAATAATAATAATAATAATCTTAAGTGAAACTATAAACATATATCTAATTTAATAACATTAGAAAAACATGGAGTTGATCCAATATAATAATCCAAAAACAAACTTGATTAGACTTGTGCTAAGAAAGTAGTAGAATCAATTATCCAAAAAACATTATCACAAACATTAAAAACAAGAAGCAGCATAGAATGACATTTAGCTACTCAAGACACCACATAGAGCTAGTGTTGCACTGCAAAAGTTGGACATCCAAAACTCTTTATTCCCATCATCATCTTACTTGTACACATATATATATAAAAGAAGCCCATTGGTCTACTCCATCCACACATCTACCCCCACCCCCACCCCCCTCTCCCTCTATTTATTAAGTATCTAGCAGTTTATGCTTAGATAAACTAATCCTAAATCCCTAAAGTCGCTAGTAGAGTTAAGTCGCGAATTACTCTATCAGTCCTCATGTCCATCTATCTGTCTAACCCTTATCTGTACACTCTGTGCAAAAATACGTCTTTATCTCATTTGATTAGTCAAGGACTTTCAATGACCGATTAAGTTTGGAACTCCACGTTACCGCTTGAGCACCGCTTGAGCAAGATTTTAAAGTGATTGATCGATTGAAAGTTGATTGGACTTCTCCATCCATCCATCCCCCTCTCCCCTCCCTTTTTTTTTAACATTAAAAAATACCCACAACTTTAGGCATGCAAATGGTGGAGAAAACATCATTATTTCACAACCCACAAAGATTTTCCCCTCTATTTGCTAACAACATTACATGGTACATGGACCCAACCTTGTGCAGTTGTGCCTTGACATCCACAAATTCTCAGTCCCTGCAGTCACCTTGGGTTTGGTTGGTTGTCATGTTCCATTTCCCAACCCCTTTTATCCCCTCTCTTTTGGCTCTCCCTTTCTGTCTCCTTCTTTTGCCTTCATTTAGCTTCCCACTTGGATTACAATGCTTGTGATTATGCACAAACATGGTTTTTGTGTCTCTTAATTTCTTCTTCCTCTCTCTCTGGACCTTTTCTTGCATTCTATTAGCTCAAGAAAAGTAGTGGGCAACCAATAATGCTTGTTTGCTTCATCTTACAATGTGTTTAAGTAGCAAACTATTTAGACCACGTAGTTTTTACCTTAGCTTTTATGTCAAAAAAGTTAGGTATTATTATTTCAGACTTCATCAAATTTTTTATGTCATGAATTATGATTTGTCGAAAAATAACAACACAGGTCAATAAAATTTAAATTTATGACCTGATATTTTTGACATCTTATAATAATATCATACACGTACCATATGATATAATTAATACTGAATGAAGTAATCTTTAAGCAAAGGTGGCCTGAACAATATGCCAAACGGGTCCTGCTCCTTAATGCACCTGCCTCGAGAATAGCACAAGTCAAGATTATACTCTTGCTACATGCAATGTTCTTTATTAATCCAATAAATATTTTGTATAGTATAGGACAATTCTATTCCGTCCTTACTCATAAATTATGTACCACTATAATGATATTTGAATACAAATTCCTATTCCTTTTATCTTGTAAACTCTTTTCAATAGCCACAACTGAATTATTTCAAATTTCACGATTTTAACTATAACTTTGATTCCAACATACTAACAACGTAACCCACAATAAACAGCACAAATTAAAGTTCTGTTGATGACAAAGCTTATTAATCACGACACCAACTCTAAACTGAACTCGAACTATTATCGACTTATCGTATAAATCAGTAATTAAATGTGTATTTTGTAGTGCAGAGGGCAGCATTGAGATGATTCAGTGTAGATGCAAGTTGCAGAGAAAGGACAACTGAGACTAATAATTAGAAGCACAGAGCATCATTTGACTGCATCTGCAGCTCAAAACTTGCACTTCTTTTTGTAAATTTGTGGCAACAATTTAACTTTACCTCACTTGGACTTACTAGAAAAAAATTATTAACTTTTATTTTTATTTTAAAAAAACACTAATATATTTGTTTTATCTATTGACTTTCTTGATTAAAACTGATCAACTATAAATAACTTAAGATAATTTATCTTTTTATGGTCGTTTATCAACTAAAATTATATGGTGCGATGAACTCTCCCCAAAGTATACTTGTGTTGGTTACCTAACCCCAGGGACATGGCGCTTAATTGCTTTCCATTGCTCATCAAATCATCAATGTTTACCACTCCCATTCACAAAAAGTTCCAGTCTTTATTTTTGACTATGACTATACATAAATATAATTAATTCCTCGAAAATTTATTATTACTAGCTTTATTGAAAACTATGAACTCAATTTAATGCTAAATTTTTTTTATAAAAGTGTGTCACACTATATACAAAAGAAGTAAATTATACTGGATTGGACTCGAAAGATATTGACGATGATTAAACTCGTGAACATTTAAATACAAAATTCATGTTTCACTCACTCAAACCTCGACGAAGACAAAAGGACATCATAACCCTTCAGATGGAAGCAAACAAGCAAAAAAACTTTAATGGCAATATGGTTGGGAAATGTTGAACCTTGCTGGCGACTCACTCAAACTTCACTATCTCATTCAATTAACTGCATTTAAAACAACTGTCTCTTTGCCTGTTTTATTTATTTATTTCTTAATAATAATGTGCTGTAAATTTTTAATTTTTTCATTATTTTAATTTCTTCTTTTTATTAGTAATTCAAATCCCAACGTCTATCTTTTATAACTGGAGGAGGGAACTATAGCTCCAAACCCGGTAAAGATTTTGAACAAATACCTCTTCTTTTCATTAAAATATTTCTCTCTAAACTGCACACCACTTTATAGTATATCCGAATTTTTTTTGTCATTTAAAAAAATATCTCTTTAATTATTATTATCTTTTTAAAATATCATCTAATATTTCCATCATGAAACTAACTCGAATTCACTTCAAGTCTACTCAACTTTTAATCAAGAGAGACTTGATTCAAATTTTTTTAACACGACACACAAATACAACGGTTTGATTCGAACTTTGTAATAGTACAAGAATCTAGCCTACAATATCATTTAAAAAAAAAAAAAAAAAAAAAAAACAGCCAAGTCCAAACGCTCTAATGGTTTTAAAGATTTGTAAACCTTATTATCAAGAATGATTAGGGTGTATTATGTTACCATCTAATATGCACAAAAATTAATTTGTCAATGTATATGTTTGATAAAGCATATATAGTCACGACTAAAAATCTCTCTAATAGGCATAAATGGTTGTGTTAACATCCAATCTGCACAAAAAATAGCTTCTTGGTTTATTATGTATATTTATTTGTCATTTAACAAAGCTTTCTTAATATAGTAATGATCTTTTTTGTGAAAAATACTATGAAATGCAACCATGTCATATAAGATGAAATATATATTATATATATTCATGATGACGTAATATATAGCTACAGATTACAATTTTCACAGCATTTTTAACCACCATGATGATATCATGACCAAAACAGTACACCCTAAAAATGTAGCAAAAAAGGCTGTGAAAATAGAACCTTTTAGCTTAAACTAACCCTAATTAACCAAAATACACTAATTATAACAATACACTAGCTAATAACTTCAAACACTACACGTAGACTCCCACCAGTAATTTTTATGGTGGTCAGAAATTACCATACTACCCCTACAAGCTACACTACTTACTTACCTACACTTAAACGTGACACTCTTGATTACACTTTATTGATAAGTTGGAAGTTGGAAGGTTAGTCGTGGGGGGAAGTCACGTGCGTTTCCTAAAAGCCACGTGACATCGAAGCACCACCGGTGGTGAAGGTTGCGGCCACCGGCGGCTTGACGGAGAAGACGCCGTTCCAGATCTCCGTGAAGGCGCGGACGATGACGCCATGGTAGTACGGCGAATTGAGCTGGAGGAAGCAGTTGAGGAGCTCCTTGAGGTCGTCTTTGGAGTAGATGTTCTTCTCCAGGATCATCTGGAGCATGGAGTGCCGGAAATCGAGGTAAGGGTCGTCGGAGTCTTTCTCGACGGCGACGCTCTCGCCGCCGATCCTGCCGAAGCCCTGCACCGCCCGCAGGCTCTTGATTTCGGAGTCGGTGTCGGAGGAGGCGTAGGCCGGGGAGAAGGTGGTGGTGGTGGTGTCCCACGAGCTGGAGGAGTAGTTAGAACCATTTGCGGCGGCGACGCCGGAGTAGGAGCGGCGGAAGGTGGTTGTTGTTTTATGGTGTCGCCGTGGTTTGGGTTGGAAGACGGCGGAGAGTTTCGGCCGTCTGCAACTCCCGCCGCCGCAGCCTAGCTTGACTGCCACACTGCTGAGAATGATCTTTTTCTTGTCATGACTCGACATTGCCGGAAAATTTTTTCAGATTACAGACTGAGAAAGTTCAGAAGAAGAAGAAAGTCAGAAATTTTGAGAAGGGTGGTAGTGAGTTATATGGTTATGGAAGGCCAACATTGGTATATAAATTCTGCATGTGACTGTGGTTGCCTCATTGTGCGGTCCATCAGATTATTATAACATTTATTATTATTATTATGTAATTCACATTTATATCCCATGCTATTAATGCTAGCTAGCTGGTTATAATACTAATACAAGTAAGTTGAATATTACATTTTCATATTAGCTTCCCACATATTGTTTAGTAGCTAACTCTATAGTAATGTCTTTGACCCTATAAAAGTTTTTTGGTATAACGGAAGAAACAGAATGTCATTACATTTTTGTCCATAAAAGATGAAAATTTGTTATTTGGTCGATTTTAATTAGGTCTCGGGGTCTTTACACTCCGAACCAGCAAGATAGCGAAGGGATAGTAGAAATACAGTAGGTGATATTGAAGTACAAAGGGGGGATTAGCAGAGGTGACAAATATAAAAGTCAAAATTAAATACTGAAAATAATTAAGGTTCAATTCTGACATGACAGTAGGGATAATCATAAATCTGAAAAAATATAATGTAGAGTTATTTCATATCTTGAGCCATCAGATCATATCCAGCGCACGCTGCTGCCATTTTTTTATAATGAAGTTCCTGAAAAATGTATCCCTGCCCACCTGATTCCCCTTTATGAGAAAAAGAAGATCCAACTATCTTACCCTCAATTTTATATACTCCAAAAATCATATTTCTATATAGGGCCAAAAGAAACTAAAATGTCTGTGAATACGTGTAGACTAATCTCATCTATCAATCTAAAACACGTTTGGCAGTGCATTTGAAAACGCTTGTACACAGTTATTGCCAGAGAAATTGGAGCACGGGGTCTGGAGTGCGCACGAGAGAGGCGTTGTCAAGAGAAAATCGAAGGTAGCACATGAGGGAAGCATCCAAGAAGAGTTTATGAAAAATGAGAGAAATTTAGCATAGTAACCTGCTAAGAATGCTAATTGTAACTCTTTTCTGAATTTGTAAATTATTTTGGAGGTTTTTTTGAGTTCAATGACTTATAGAAAACATTTTCTAAATGGGATGCAGAACACAATATAAAAATTAAGGCCAAAATGTGACGAAATTATTTGTTTAAAATATGAATCCCAAAAAAAAACCATTAGTCAGGATTAAACCTAAATTAACCCTACTATAGCACCATTAATAGAGTATACCAAACAGTCTATGTACACCAACCACAAAAAAGACTAGGGCTTTAACAGTTGTAGCTACAGGGAGGGCCTGGGGAAAGACAGTTTCCTATGCATAATTGCTACCCCTACTTAACATTAAAGAATAAATATTGTAATACTTTTAAAATATAATTTTAGTTTATAAATTTATAAAAAAAAATTATATTTTAATTAAAAAGTATTACACATTTCACGTAAGACAGTCTTATACAAGACTTACCCGGCATGAAATGGTGCCCAGAAACTAACAGACAAAATTTAAGGATGCTTTTAACATTGTAGCTTATGAAACTGTGTTTTGTTATCATAAACATGAGTTATGAGTACAGTCCCAGAAACCAAAAGTCAAGAAAGAGGAGAAACAAAGACAGTACTGTAATAACTTCAATTACATGAGTTATCTGCAGAGAAAACCATAAATTTAGGCAGGTTTTCCATAGGTTCTTGAAGTCTTAGGTACCAAAGCTGACCTAAACCTTGCTTTTGCCATAAATGTCATTAATATGAAGATGGAAGCTCCTAGCAGAAAGATGGTAATTTGGGAGTGTTCTGCCGTGGCGTCCGGGCTAAGTACTGAACCTAATATACAACCATGATGTAAGTAGCATTCATTTGACAGATAAGTAGCAGGCGGGGCGAGAAGATTGAGATCAAACGATCCTCTGTAACATGGCAACAACGATATTCAATATATATGCATCTCCGCTTTTTGTTTCAAGTTTGGCGATGGAAAAATTCTTGCTTTCCCCGTTCTTGAAAATGAAAATGAATGATGTTACGGGTGCCTGTCTGTCAATTCGAAGGAAGGAACGCATTTAACTAGTGAAGGTAACGCTCTAACAGACAAGTAGAGCTGTCAAAACAGGCTTAGCCCGCCGGGCTTTCCCGCCCCGTCCCGCCAAAAGGGCGGGGTGGACTCGTGTTTTAGAATCCCGTATTAAAAACCGGCTTTTTTGTCCCCCACCCCCCCTCGGCTAGGCGGGGCGGGCAGACCCCGCCCCGCCAGCCCGCATTGACAGCTCTACAGACAACGTTACATTAAAAGGAAGAAGATATTAAGGATTAAGATACGAGGGAATGATTACTTCTATGATATATGTCTCTTAATCAAGCTCGCAACATACTGGGCTACCCATACCGAGCCATCCTTTGTACACGAGAAAGCGTGAGAATGGCCCGCCTGTTCTACCGCTAAACTAGCACCAGGAACCTTCTCCGCAATCTGGAAATATAATAAAGCCCAGCAAGAAAACACGAGTTCAAAACAAGCAGTTGACATTATTTTAGGCTTTTGAATCAAATTTGTAAAGCCTCAGAAAGAAAGATTTACCTCGTCAAGCAGATGCGTAGGACCCCAGTGATCATCGTTACCAAACAAAAAAGCCATCTCGTTTTTATTTTGCCTCATGAAGGACCAATCAAGTGTGTCCGAAAGCTAATCCATAATAAACATAACAAAAATTTATGTTTTTTGCACAATTCAAGAACTCGTTTCGGGGAACATTAATCCGTATTCCCAGTGCACTTCATACACAATCTTACCTTATCAAACTCCGTCATTGCCATGAAAAGTACATTCTGCATAGTGTGGAACTGAAAAAATCGATTTCCAACTATTATTAGCACTAGAACGAACGTTGATAGTATTAAATTGAAAAAAGATCCCGACCTGGAGGACATGAGTGCAAAGGGCCTCGACAGCAGCAGGAGACCAAAATTTTCCGACTAATTTCTTCACTAGAGATCTCGAGAACCAGGCTGGTAGCATTCCCAAAAACGCTATGACAGCACTAAGCATTGCAGAGATACACCGGGATCTGAAAATTGCGTGTTATTGCAACACTGAGACAAGACACATGGTAGAAACAAATATAACCTAAATGGAAACTCGGTAATTTGAACGTTAATATTTATAAAGATGTAATTCGGTCTATATAGCTGCAAGTCTAATAGGATTATAAGATAAACTTATAGTCTATTCTTTTCTAGAATGAACACCTTTAACTTCATGCATCTTTGGGTTCGATAAGCAAACATTATTACTAAGCAAATTATAAAGGTCCAAGAAAACAGATAACTACATACTCGAGTCTTTAAGCAAACAAGTGCAATAACTAAGCAAATTAAAAAGGAAGGAGCTTTACGCTGCAATCTTCTTAATAAAAAATTGCGTCCAAGATTTGGTGTTCACGGTTAGAAATGGATATAGTCCGATGCAGAATCCCACCTAAGTAAACAAGGTAGAAAAAAAAAAGTAAAAATTTGAATTGTGGAAAACCAAATGACAAAAACGTTACAAAGAATACTTGTTAAGTGTTCGTTTCATTACCTTTTTCCGCGATCTTTTAAAAACTTCCAGAGATATGTAGGAACCAATAGAGTGCCCGACCTTAGAACAAAATGAAACATCAGTTCATCTCAACAAAAACTTATCTTCCAGAACAGAATTAGGGTATATTCAAGGAAAAACGTCATCTTTGGGCACACCCCCACTGTTTTAACCACACGAGGCATTAATACAAAGCACGACGGAAGAGAAGTTAATTTCTAAAGTCAACATAAGTCCTAGATCCTACCAGGACTATAGGAACTTCAGCATTATGTAGCTCCTGCTCGATGAAGTTGATCTGAAATGGAATGAAATTCATAAGTATATACGAAAAAATGACAGAAAAACAAGTTCGAATGGCAGAAAATATAATGATAATAATAATAACAACAACAATTGATATAATTACCTTATGACTGATTTGTGCTTTCAACGAAAACAGCCTTCCAGACTCCCAATTCTAACAAGTGAACGTATTGTGCAACTATTTTAGCCATAATACTTCAAACAAAAAGTGCCTCAATAATATAATGAAAGAATATATTCCATCAGGTAAACTTCAATATCCGGTGAATATTACTTTCAGAGTGACATAAACACTTCAGTTCACACCTTTCCTCGACTCGAGAGATCTTGAACAGTATATAGCCATCTAAACTCTAAACTAAATTGAAAAGACTATAGCCTGGATTTGGGATAGATCAAAAGTAAAACTTTAACATACATACATTAGGTTCATCTTCACCCAAGGGCCATTACCTTTTTGCCATGAGATATGTGCTGGATAGCTGAAAAATGGAGAACTCAGGCATCACTGCAAAGCGGTAAAAATATTTTTCCCATATAACAATAAATTTAAAAATGAATTTTCGGTTCAGTAGCCAGTGTTCCTTGCCTGTAATGGATGCAGTTCCTCCCAGTAGCTCATATAGCGACTCAACAAAATCAACGTAAAATGAAATAACACCTGCCACCACCATTGACATAGCTCAATTCTCCCTAATGTCTACAACACAAATTCACACTCAGCTCGGGTAACCCCAACCGAGTTGGTCAGACAATTAGCCTGGTAACCACAAAGTTACAAGATCAACTCCCCGTGGGAGCGGCCTATTGGTCTTCTTGATTAGCTATGGTCTTTTTTCTGGTCTTTTGCCGGCTAGGGTCATAAGGCAGCGTTTACCCAGTGCACACCCTCGGATAGTGACAGCAGTTTTACCTCGTCACTCGAAAAAATAAAATTCACACTCAGCTCTGAATATCAAAATACCTGGATTTCCAGGAATGAATACCACATGCAATTTTGGATCTTGGGCATGAACTTCAAGTAAATCAGTCTTGTAGCTGACACAATAAGGAACCAAAAGATATTAACTTTCTCAACAACAACAGAATAAGTGTACGACCCATCACATTATATGCATTGGTCTGAATGCCCATCAGCTCATATGAGCTTCACTGAAGTATATATCACTATTACAATTTCTAACGCAGAATCCCATTGGCAGAAATTTCGAGGATAATAAGAATAAATGTAATATCAACACACAGAGCGAACGAAAAATTACCCAGAAACATTGCAGAGGCGGAAATTGGCGTGTTGTTTTTTGCTGATCAGACTCGAATTTTCAAGAACCATTCTTGAAATTCTGCAGCTTGATGAAATTAATCTTCTGCAAAATTAGGAAAATTGGGTGAAAAAAGATATGCGCATTCTGTAGACTGGATTAGACCCTCACAGTAATCACTGCAAACCTGGAGCTGGGGCAAAGAGATTGGGCAAGAGGAGAGGCAATGCTAAATAGCATCGGATTTGTGGGTCGACGCTAGCGAGCGATACGAGGTTAAACCCGTATAGATTTGGTACGGTTCGTTACAAATAAGGTTGTTCGTTCGTGTTTTCAAAAAAAAAAAAAAAGATTGTTCGTTCGTTAATCATTATACCAAAAGAAGGTAAAAAAATCAGTTCATTTTCTTTTTCTTCTTTTATGATAATTTCCATTTTTTGTTCGTCATCCCATGGAGCCTTAGCTTGTCGTTGTCGATTAGGAATTAGGGTATCTTGATATTTTGACACTCTACTTTTTAAGCTCAAAAGGGTAATTTTGTCTCCGCCAAGCCATTCAACATAATTATGCTAGTATAACTCGCATTGACATTTCAATTAGTCATGAAAGTAAAGTTCAAAAATAATGATAAGATATCAAATTTCACCAACAATAATATGAGAGTAACCTCTCAGAGTGACAAAAAAGTATCCGAAAAAATAAATAAGAGCAGACTAAATTCTACTATAAGCAATATAGTGCCAGACCATTTTATTTTAATCATGATTAACCCAAAAAATGTGATTTTTGAAAAATAATAAAGTTAATTTCACCAAAGGTCTCTTATTTTTTGTGACAGATTCGAAATTTAGTCTCACACTATCATTTTTACCAACATCCTTAGACTATTATTTTTTAGACACTTTTAGTCCTTCTCATGACTTTTTCTAATTTTAGTAAGGGTTTTTTTGTCTCTTCATATTTTTCTTTTGTTATTTTTCCGGTTTAATTGGTTTATGACTTTACTAAAAATCGGTTGAAAAATATGATTATTAAAAATCAGATGTTGCCTAAAGTTATAAACGAATTAAACCGGAAAAATAATAAAAGAAAAATATAAAAAGACAAAAATGTTCTTACTAAAAATATGAAAAGTGATAAAAATGACTAAAAGTGTCAAAAAACTAATAGCCTAAGGATGTTAAATGACAAAAACTGAAATTAAATTTAAAATTGCCACAAAAAACAAGAGACCTCTAATGAAATTAACCTAAAATAATATTTATTATAAAAGTCATTATTATTATCAAACTCATAACTCAATTCCACCTAATTATTAAATATGTAAAATACTTTTATCAAAACATATTATCAAAGTATTGTATTTGATTCTCATTTTAATTATGATTATGTTATGTGAACCAAATACACATTTAGTTTCTTGTTTTTTGTTGTTATTAATAATAACCAAAATTTATTTATTTGAATCCAGTTTTGACCTGTTCTTCTAGTACTAAATAAATCCTAGTCGGCGAATCCTTAAATCAATGCCGGGGAAACTTCTGTGATGTCTCTTTTAACTGCCAACCAAATACTATATAATCTGGAACCTTAGTTCTGCAGATTTTATATGTAAAATAAAGGAAAGCCGTTTCTGACAAGAAACCTCAGCTCTCTCGTAAGTTTTACCAATCCAAGTCGTCGCAGACTTGTAGACCCTAAATTTGCTATTACATACACAACACGCTTTATATATATTATATGTTATAAGCTAAGCTCCTTCTTCATCACATATCATCTCTCTTATTTACAATTCATTTTCACCTTCCATAACTATCTGCAGACTGCACAGAGACCATTTCTTCCTCCTTTTCAAGATCGAGTTTGTAGCTAAAAGATGTTGGGAGAATTCATAATCAATAGCTTAGTGTATGTGATATGATTCTTTCTTCTTCTTCTTCTTCTTGCTGTATTTTTTGAATTGTTGAGTAATTTCATAACCTGATCTGATGATGGGTGCAGATTGGTTCTTGGGTATGCATACCCAGCTTTTGAATGCTTCAAATGTGTGGAGAACAACAGAGTTCAGATTCAAGAACTGCGGTTTTGGTGCCAATACTGGTATGGAACAATTTTCTTTTTCTTTTTCTTTCTTTCTTTCTTTTTTTCTTCCTCTTTTTATTTGGGTGAAGAGAATATCTGCATCACTATTTGAAGGTATGCAAACATGGTCGAATCGGTGTTGGGCCTGATAACCTGATTTTCTCTTGATTGTTTAAGAATGACATCTTTATATTTTATGTTGTAGGATTGTTGTCGGGTTAGTGAGAGTTCTTGAAAGCGTTGCCGACATCTTTATATCATGGTATGCATTATTTAAAATTTTAAACGTTTTCTTGTGTATTGTAATTTGTAAATGTATTGACTTGCCCTGCATTTTGATATAGGATCCCAATGTATAGCGAGGCCAAGCTGGCGCTTTTCCTGTACTTGTGGTATCCAAAATCTAAGGTAAAATTGAAATTTAATCTTGAATTGGTGAACATGGTAATAATTTTTGATGTTGTATTGATGAACATTATTGCATTGTGGTTAATGGTTGCAGGGGACAGAGTACATATATGGAGCATTGTTGAAGCCATTTGTTTCAGAGCACGAAGGGGAGATTGAAAGAAGTTTCATGGAGTTTAAGGTCAGAGCCTGGGAGTTAGTGGTGTATTACTGGCAAAACTGCACTGAATTAGGGCAGGCAAAGTTCTTCCAAATGCTTGACTTCTTGGCTACAGGAAGGCTTACTCAATCCACCTCTACTAAGGTACACCTAATTTCATTTTCTCATGTTACAACTCTCGCATTTAATGTCCTAAAAACGTAACTGAGTGGATAAAGCATGATGCTGATACGAAAAAATCACTAGTTTGATTCTTATCAATACCCTCTCGATCAAATCTGTTGCACAAGATATTACATTCATAGTGTTTATATGATTATAGGCTATTACATAGGAGCGAGGTTTATCCAGAGCACACTCTTAATAGTAAAGGTTCCACTTGTCATCTAGTCTTACATAAGATTTATGTCCTTATATTATTTTACACGTAAGGTCAACGATTAATTTAGTAAATATTTTTTTTTTTTTCTAAAAAGCTAATAATGTCAAGTATCAACTGATCAAAACATATAACACACTAATTTATTAGTTATAAGCTAATTATCAAATACAGCTATAATATGTATGCCTGATTACTTAGGGTATTATGGGAACAAGTGTTGAGTATTGTGGGATAATTTGTAGTATAATATTAATTGGATTATGTTATTTAATTATTTGATTGGGCCTATTCCCTAACGACATTAGGAAATGAAGCTTTGGGGGCCCATGATGGTGAACTTGATGAGCCGTTGATGTATAATTGGCCAAATTTATACTCTTAATTAATGAAAATATTCAAAAGATACCAAATCTATTAATGGGAATATGGATGATATGGTAATATTTTTGTAGAAAAAGGATAATTAAAAAAATATATCAAATAGTATTTGTCTAGGCGATAGGATAAAATTCAAGTAACTTACTTTAAAAAATTTATAATTATCTATCCTGTGAATTACTTGATGACTCTGTAAAGTATCATAACGATTAATAACAATATTAGTAAACTAACTCTTGTTTAACTAGGTATCTAATATCAGTTTGAGCCGACCTCATACTTTGGTTGGCCCCACTACTAGAACTAGTCATTTATTTCACAAAATAGGTATAATCGATTTACATAAATATATAATTATAATTAGAACATAAACAAACTTAACTTGGTTGATAGGTTTTTTACTTTGATAATATATTTTTTTACTTATTTCTTGATAAGGTTAAAAACACATTATAGGAATAACTCCTAATTTATCATGAGATTAAATCTCTAGTCCCCATCAAATCCTAATATTATATGATAAGATCTTATAACACATGTGTCATGATTCTCATGAATCCTAACATATAAATAAATAAATTATTTATTCTAGTAATGACAAATTAAGAGAAATTTATGTAGTACCAAAAATCGTGGACTTGGTCTTATTGGCCAGTCCAACCAATGATAATAACAACATGAAAACATCATGTTACAACAGCCACAACTTTTGTGGTCACCCTTGTCCTTGCCACCACACCATCCATCTTTTCTCGGGTCTTCCAACCAGTAAAATTCTTACAAAGAAGTAATCGCAAGATCACAAATTTAACTATTTGTGAGAGTTGATCAATTATAGATCATGATTAGTTTATTTTCGTGTGATCATTTATCAATTAAAGTTATATAATAAGTTTCACCTAAAAATTACATGTACAAACTTAGATTACTGATTCAGTAAACACTGTATGTTCACTGTTCGCATGAATCATCATAATTTACATATTTAGGAGTGGAATATACTCATTGAATTCGCTACATATAATGGGAAATATGTATAATATTACGCATCGTTATTTATGGACTTCATTATTGGGGTCAACATCACTTTAATCATTTGTACAGCAAAAATTCTGACTTTACACACTTTGATTACAATTTACATCTTTATTTACTGTTATATCATGCAGGAGAAGGATACCGACCACCGTGCCGGTGGAGCTCCACTTCCTCCTCCAGCCCCCGCCGCCACCAAGTCCGGCCTTTTCAAGAAGCACAGGTAGACTCCGATGATCGGCGGCAGCCCTACTCCGGCTTAGTTAGCCAGAACCAAGAAGTGTACTTGTAAATAATTTGGCAAATTTATAGATTTTTTTATTATTTTAATTTCAAGAAAGTGTACTTTGTATCATTGTATGTTTGAATAGTCGACACGGTTTGTAAAGCCTCCAATTGAGAAAATGAAAAGTGGGGAATAAATTATTTTAAATATTTTTTACAAATTATTATTATTATTTTTTTGGAATTGCAATCAAACATATTCTGTAAAGATTTGGTCGACGAAAATAATAATAATACAAACTTGTCATCATCTGAGGCTCCGAAGCCCAATTGCGCGGAGCAGCCAGTCAACGGCGCGGGTCAACGGTAGAAGAATGTGGCGATCCACAAAGTCTAGGAGGGCGACGACGGGGGCGTTGCCGGAGAATCGGATGCAGAGACGGCGGAGGAAGCTGCCGCCGGAGGAGTCCGGCGAGGTGGACATGGGCTGGAGGTATGCCCAGGCGGCCTGTTTCACGAGGCGGTTACGGATAAGGATTTCGGACCCATGGTGAGATCCCGGCGTCATGGGCCTCGGAGAGTTGACGGCGGCGGCGGGGAGGATGTCCTTCAGGGAGGTGTAGTGCACGGGCTTGATCGAGAACAGCTCGAAATCATCGTTCTGCGATGACCCAGAAGACGTGGCGGACGACGCCGCCGTCGTGGCGTACGAGGAGGAGGAAGAAGCCGCCTCACGGCTGTGGCGCAGGCTGAGCTGCGCCGGCGCGACGACGGAAGCGGAGATGGAGTTGCGGCGGCGGAGAAGACCGTTTTGCGGCGTTTCCAGCGCTACCGGTGGTGCTATGACATCTGCCATGATTCGCCGGCGGAGAAATTCTGTTGACGGCGGTGACGGAGCGTTATGCTAAATAGAGATTTGTGGGGTTTGCTTTATAGTAATGGTACGTTTGAGTAAAGCGATTAGTGGCGTCTGTCGTCACCGTCTTTCAAACGTTGGTTTTAGGTTTTGGGCTTTTGTCGTTCAACTTGCCTTTATATTATTGGTTTCTTTAATTACGGAGTGCTTTCATTCTACTCCCTCAACTTCACAAATTGCTATTTTGTACCCCTTTTGTCTTTACTATATTCAATTGAAACACTAATACAAATATACAATCCTTCCATTACTTAATTGAGGATCAACACTTAAAAGGAAACAAATCAAAATAAAAATTTCCACCTTCCTTTTAATAATCAAAACGGCAAAAGATTGAATCTTAAAGTGTTGCGATAATGACATCATTGTATATCCTTTATAATATTGAATCGCGCTAATCTTTCCATTTTTTTCTTCATATGAAAATCAAAATCTATAAGTATTAGATAATTTTTATTAAAATAGTAATTAAGTTACGTGTATCATTTTATGAAGAAAATTTCATACAGTTCTACTATTTGGCATATTAATTTTAGAGAATCACTAGTGTTTTTATTTTTTATCTTTCCCTTATGTCTAATTAAATACATATTGTAAGATGAAAATATATACTCTTAAAAATACAATTAATATTTATCTTTAATGAAAGAGTGATAATTATTGTTCTCTCTCATTGGGGGTTTGTGTTTGAGATTGACATTGATTTTTTGTGCACAGAAATGTACATTGAGTTTTGAAACTATATTGGATTGATATATCTCATATTCTTATGAGTATGAGATTGTGTATGAGGTCTAAGATATAATGTAGTTAAAATAAATAAGGGGTTGAATTTCAATTTAAGAAAAATATAAGTGTTATTTTGGTGAAATAATAATATGCAAAGGAACACGTGGTTCCTGTTGTATGAAAATGCAAATAGGCAAACGCAACAACTTCAATTACCATATACTCATGTTTTTATCCAATTTACAGACTTTGACAGCTAGCCATTGGCTAATTCACAACTCGTGAAGCATCCATCTTTGGATTAGGGAATTTAGGCGGAAATTGGGGTTGTGCTTTTTTGGGTTAAGTCCAAATCTATTATATTTTTGAATGTGTCAATATCTATACATTTTGTATAGTTTATGGTGGAGCATTATTGTGAGCTTATGGAATGATTATTCTCATGTGTGGATGTTAGTTTTGATATGTAGAAGGTAGTTGTAGAGTTGGTTCGTCTTTCTCCTTGGTTGTGGAGTCTTTTATAGTGGAATAGGATGTAATATTTAGCAATTCATTGTAGGTTATCGACTATTTATTGGTGGAATAATGGAGAATATTAATTTTTGTGATAGAATAATGGTAAAATAATGAGCATTTATGGTGGCATAATTGGTGGTATAATGATAGATTAATATTTCAGCCTTTTGGAAGATTATTTCAAGATTATTTGGATAGCTCTGAGTGGATCTTATGATGTTAGTCATCTATTTATCTTCCAATCAAGTAGATATTATTGCATGATTGATAAGTGTGGTTCCCAACCCAAGGGCCACCACACCCAGAGAGTATCTGGGAAGATATAAATCATGATAGATATTATTGTATGATGATTGATAACCATGGTAATCATTTTTCTCAAAAGGTTGAATCCCCAACCCCAAGGGGTCCACAAAACATTTGGAAGGATGCAAATTATGGTAACTCAGCGCATATGCTAAACCTTTGCTTGCTTACTGCGCACAATGAGCCACCTCACTTTGAGAGGCTGGTTGCATGCTTAGGCTAGCAGACCTTTGCTTGCTTACTGCGCACAATGAGCCCCTCACTTTGAGAGGCCGGTTGCATGCTTAGGCTAGACCTTTACTTGCTTACTGCGCACAACGAGCCCCCTCACTTTGAGAGGTTGCTCCCATACTGTCGCTGGTGAGATTGAGCTGCCCATGCGGGCATCACCATAGTAATCATAATGACACAAGACACAATTTTTATTGTTTCAATTATCAGTTTTTGCACCTATTATCTAAATGTGTACTCTATGTGAAACTTATTTTGTCTGGCACCTAGTAGGTTTTTCATAGTTGGAAGACTCAAATCAAGAAAATTAATAAGCAACTTTCACAAATAGTCAAATTTAGAAAAATGTGATTACATACCAAACTAACTGTCTGGCAAACTCGGCCTGTCGGCCCAGGTTACCCCAACTTCCATTTATTTGTTGTGCTAACATATCAGGTTCTGATAGGATGGGAAATAATCAGTTTCATGGGGAAAGGAAAGAAAAAGGAGCAAGCTAAGCTGTAAAATGCACTGCCATTAATTATTATAATTCAGAGAGGTAGAGATGGTGAAAGCAATCAATGAATCTTCTTCTGCATACATCTTTTTGGTTTGCACAATTATTGGAGAATGCAATACCTATCTGTAGTCATGAAACTTGAAGAATGTTTGGTAGAAGAGATGATAAACCATTTCAGAAACTCTTCTTTTTAAAAAAATTTTATTCTGTACTTTCTGTCTTCTTCTTGCAGGCTTCCAGTGGTGATGTTGTCACATATATGGATCATACCTTTGGTGCACAGACATTTTCCAGAAAACAACTTACAGCTTTGACGAAGATGCATGTTCATCATCTTCTTGTATGATAGAAAATAAATTTAAAGTGGGCAGATTCATTATGCACACCGACATTGATCATGTCTACTGAATTATTGAGTCATTGTGATTTACATTCTCTTAAATGTGTTGGAAAAATAGCATTAAAATGGCATAAAATGACATGTTAAGCGGCTATTTTGTGGTACAATTATCAGTGGGGTCCACTTCCGATTTGGATCGGGTCAAAGTGGATTCGGGTTCTTCGTAGTGAGACGAAGAGATTGATATATTGTACGCTCAAAACGGATAATGGGTGAATGAGATATTGATTCTCAAAGTAGACCCATTGAGTTGGAAAAATGTAAGGGAAAAGTGAGCTTTGTCCCACATTGATTTGGAAAGAGGATTTCACCCCCCATTTATACAAGAGCTTTTTTAGAGCTTGTAGAATTGTATAGCATAGAGGCTCTTTCGCGCGGGAGGGGGGGTGCAAATCAAATTTCAACTAGACGAGATTGAAAAAGGCTTGATTCAAGTCCGAGCTCGTGTGCGCCGGCACCTGGGGGCACGAATGTCATTCGGAAATTGGCTGGCCGGCCTTGCGGGCTAAGTTATGCCAAAACACTATATGGCCACACCACGAGAGATCACCCGAGATCAAGACTTGATCTCTCGTGCGCTGTCATGAGGTTACACGAGAGTTTGACTCTCGTGTTGTGAGCACACACGAGAATTCAGTCTCGTGTGCAGATCAAGACTTGATCTCTCGTGCGCTGTCATGAGGTTACACGAGAGTTTGACTCTCGTGTTGTGAGCACACACGAGAATTCAGTCTCGTGTGCACTGAGCACGAACTTTCGTGCATCCCGAAAGTAACTGAGCTGAAACAGCGCGGACCATTTGTTAGTTCTGGACTGTTACAGGATTAATCTTGTATTAATTCCACCTTTTAAATTTTTGAGTTAAATCTCAATAATGGTGGCTGTTTCAGGTGTTACAAATTGTGGATTAAATGCTAAACTAAATGCTATTGATTCCTCACCTCCTATATAAGAAGGGGTGTAGCAGCAATGTTTCTACATAGACGGAAAACAACACACACAACACTGAAATTCTGTTTTCCCAGCTCCAAAATCTCTGCTCCTACTCCCTTCTTGTAACTGTGTTCGTCCCATGCTCTTGTTCGCCGGGTTCGTTCGTTTGGGTGCTCAAACGTCGAACCGTTGTACGTTTTATCCTGGGAAGCCTAGGCCACAACGCTCTTAGCACTTTTGGGAGGTGGCAAATAAGGTTTTAAGGAAAGAATGGCACTCGCCTAACTCGTACATTTCTTTCTTCCTTCTCCTTCTTTCTCGTTTGGATTATGCTTTTAAGCAAAAATCCGTTCTCTCTCTTTTGATATTTTAGTTGGATTGGACTTATAATCCGAGGATTATTAGTTTCAATTTTGGTTAATATATATTGGTATATCTTTTTCGTAGATATACATGTATATATAACCTTCGGATCCGTTTATATATATTTGTGTGTGTATATATATTTCGGGTAAATATCCAATAATATTTTATATACTTGTGTGTATATATAAATATTATTTTTGAGATATTAAATCGATCGTGGTTCATTATCTCCAACAAAATGCTCGTTAAATTAGGGTGTGAGAGCCTTTGAAATTGGAGATTCAATTTTTTAGAAGAAGAAGAAAATAAACTCGGCAAATCATGCTTCTTTTGACTCGATCTGAAGGGACAAGTCTTCATCATAAGTGTTGGGGGAATTATCAACAAATCACTCTATCGAGCTGAGCTTATAGCTTGACGATAATATATGCCCGACCTAGAATGCAATTAGAGTTAGCTATACTCAGCGAATTATATATTGATACGCATCAAAATGGACTGGGGCAGACAGCCAAACACAAGCATATAGGACATGCTTCATGATCAATGCATAAGTTATCATGTATTTTTTAAAAGAGATAATTTTTTTTGGTGATTACCATTTAACTCGTGGTCTATGGCAACTGTTTTCATTCCAAATGAAAGGTATATCATTCCCAATTTCTCGAGTCGCACAATCAATCTATTGAATGTTTCAATAAGATTCGAATCCCACACAAGCTACAGCTGCCTTCAATCATGACTTTACATAGGTGATTCCAATTTTACGCGACTATTTCACGTGTCACACAATCAATTCATCAACTGTTTCAATAGATTTGAGCCCCACACAGCTGCCTTCAATCATAACTTCATATCAGGCGACCAATGTAACCCCCTCTATATCCAACCCTCTTGAAACGAGTGTTAGGGGGCCTCTATTTTTTGGGTATACCCAGAATTTACACTCGCAGACACAGTAACTAATCCCCTCAGTGAATTGTAAAAACTTCTTTTGGATGAAATAGCTGGCCTAAAGATTTAAGAGAGGTTGTGGCATCGAGCCTCAGTTACGGGCCTCTATATTACTTCATTATCAATAAGAAACACTCTATTACCCTCTCTTTTGTCACTAATTAACTCGATCTAATAGCTAAGAAAGGCCACCATTTATAAGATTGTCATCATTATATTAAAGAAATCGAAATTTCAGGCGACGTGAATACACGGGAAGAGATTAGATCAAGGACAAGAAAACCAATTCAATCATCATATATTTATAAGAACAACCGAAGCATCGAATTGAAGCAACTGTTTGTTAATTGTATTTATATTACAGTGTGACATTATCATCAAATTTGGCACGCCACAGGGGAGAGGTTCTCACCGGCATGGAAGAACTGCAGCAGACCTCCAACCTATCCCGGAACCGAACCTCCGACGATTTCAACATCAGAGGCAGCGACAAACACACCCCTTTCTCCACGCACGTTTGATGTCTGGGTTTGATCCTGTTTTCTAAGCTAAACGAGAAGTACTGCGGGTAATCCATCAGTTCTTTCAACTCCCTTCCCATTTCAACTAGAAAGTAGTTGAATTTCGGCTCCAGATTCTCCTCTATGCTGTAGCGGAACAGGGGAGGGAACCGCCGGAGAATCGCCGTGGCTTCTTGCCTCGAAAACCCCAGTTTTTGGAAGTAGTCGAGTCTGGGGATGAATTTGGAGTCGACGGAGCAGGAAAGAAGGGTCGCCCATCTGGGAACGTCCTCGATTCCGATGGTGGTTTGCAGGAAACGGAGAGTTGGACGGAGATGTTCCTCCACGGGACGGGTGAGCAGCCGCGGCCGTCGGCGGATTACTCCGGGGAGGCTCCGGGCGTCCACCCCGGCCTCGCGGAGCAGGAACGTGACGGCGGGGAGGAGCGTGGAGGAGAGAGGGGTGGTTAAGATCTCCGGGCACATGTGCAGCACTCGCCGGACGCCATGGATGCCGAGATCGAGGGCGTGCAGGAAATCAATGACGGATTTGAGCTGCGGGAGCGAGGCGGAGACGAGCGGCGGGTGGGAAGCGAAGCAGCGGAAGGAGTCTACTCCGAGGGAATCCAAGTAAAGAAGCTTCTCCTGAAGCAGCTGGGAATTCTGGTGCGGGCTGAAGGGCTCGGGTTTCGCGGGGAGCGAAACGTCGGGGAGATCGACGGCGGGAGGAGGAGGAGGAGGCGCGGGAGGGAGGTGGAGGTGTTTGGGCGGCGGAGATGGGAGTTTGGGCTTGAGAAGGGCGGCGGGGGAGGCGGTGGCGGAAGAGAGGCTGAGAGTTTGTGGCATGTTGTGGTGGTGGTCACATTGTCGTATGGTGGAGAGTTAAGGGGCATGGAGGAAAAAGATAAGAAGGGAGGCTGAGATGGCATTTGCTAAAGATGACTGTAATCTCAAAATTGGAAGCTTATGGTACTTGAGGATAATGGTTGCATTGCAAGGGTCTCTATAAATCAAACCAATATAATATTACACATTTACACCCTGCCCCAAAAGAGGTGGATTAGAGAACCAACCGGTTTAGCTAAAGCATGGGTAGGCTAGTTCGTTGATCGCTTAATGTGATGAGTTATACAAGAACTAAACATGTTAATGAGGGCCATGCATGCATGAGTAGCCAAGCCAACATAAAAGATGTCTAACACCTTACGAATTAGAGCATGCGTTAAATTCAGACAATCTATTTCAACTAAGACGCTCTTCAAAATCTTGTCTTTAATTTACGATAGAGCTTCATAGCATATTAGTGCTTTAGCCATCATCGGGTATTGTACACAAATGAGAAGGTCATTCATGGTAGCCATAAAAACTCCATCATCTTTAAACAAGCAGACCCCAAATAATGTCGTGTTTGTCTCCATTGACAAACTTGAGTTGAACTTGCAAATAACGCAATATGGATTTTGAGACTATAGAGGATAATGGACTTGTGTGTCTCAATATGATACCAAAGTCTTGGGGGTAAGGAATTTCGTCTTTTGTGGACAATATAATATTGGGCTTGTAGTAAATTTGGTTGTAATTTTTGGCTATTTTTCATATGTTACTTTGTTAGACACCAGTCTTTAGAGGAGGTGATGATTAATAGTGACTCAAATTGGGCAAGGCAAATTGTTTGTTTTTCCTATATCATTTAAGCTATTGGTGAGCTTATAAGGTAATATTAGAGTTGTCAAATTTGTTATATTCATAGGGAGACTGATGCCAATTGGTTTATAAATGTTAGCGACTTGTATTACATTGTTTTTTTTTTTTTTTAATAAGATTAAGAATTCAATTGAAACTTTTAATAATTTGAGGCTCTAATTTTTTTTGGGTGTACTTATTTTTTTTTTATTATTATTTTTTTTTTTTTTGCTAAATTGTAGACACTTGATAGCTTGATTTAGAGATTTAAGGCTCATAGAAATTCGAAACATGCCACGAGTCTTTGCTCGTTTATAACGCTGCCGCTACTTGCCAGTCGCCGGAATCCCATTTCCATCAAACACGATTCTGTTCTGCCTTCTTTGCTGCTCCGATCTCTTTTACCTATTCTTCAATGGCGTCCGCCGCAACTTCAACGGCTCTGCTCTTGTCAAACCCCAAGTCAGCCATTTCACCCAAGTCCTCAGCAAACCCCTCTTTCTCTAAAACCCTAACTGTTCAGTCATCTTTCAATGGTCTCCGCAATGCCAAGCCCTTGGTCTCCCGTGTCCCTCGCACCCTATCTTCCCGCGCCGCTCAAGCTAAGCACCGCAGCTTCGTCGTTCGCGCTTCAGTAAGCAGCCCCCTTTCCCCCATTACTGCATTTCGCTCATGTCTGTCTGTTCGGTGATATACTCGATGCTGAAAGCCTGAAAGAGTTAAAGATCGGTCCTTTTTTGCTTTTAAGTCCTTTCATGTGATTTATTTTTGTATTTACGTGAATGATCTAGCACTGAATCAGTTACTCAACTCTGATGAATGGTGGAGGAATGGCTTAGCATTCAAGTTATACAAAGACTGGTCTGACTTTTCTTTGGAGTCTGTTGTGTCTTTTATATTCTGAAACTAAGTTTTATCTGTCAAAAGCTTTAGCCTTTATTGACTGCTGTTTCAAGTTATCAATGTGTGAGAGTCTGAGAGAAATGTCTAGGTATTCTTATAGAGATTCTCGGATTCAGGTGAATTTTTCATGCAGGATATGAATCATACATCTTAAAAAAGATCCTTTCAAAAAAAATATATATCTTAAAAAAGAATGATACCCTTGCTGACATTCTCTACTTTGTGTAAATATACGCGTATTGGTTCTTGCTCTAGTTTTTAGAGTTTCTGATATTCTCTCATTTTGTTTTAATTTTATAGTTTGTGTAAATTAGGCATGTTGATTGCATTTTTTTTTTTTTGGTATTTTAAATATTCATGACTCATTCAGCTGAAGTTTTTTTTTTTTTTTTTTTCCACAGAGTGAACTTCCATTGGTAGGGAATCAGGCACCAGATTTTGAGGCTGAGGCTGTTTTTGATCAGGAATTCATCAAGGTACATTTCATTGCAGGACAAATGGTTTTCCTACTTTGCAGAATATAGCCTTACCTTCTGCTTGTCCTCAAGGCTGATCCCTTCCCGACCAATACAACTGAGTGTTAATGCCATAGTATCCAATGACGAAATGAGAAGTACACCTCAGGCCTCAGCATACTATGCATTGTTACTCTCAACTAAAGAAAAAAAAATTAAGGAACAAGAATTTGTTTTAGATTATTTTTCTCCTTTGCTTCCACTTCCTGCTTCCTTTATTTTGTTACCTTTCCGGGTATCTCAGAAACTGAAACAAGGCTCCAAACCTCATGATCTCTTTCCTTACTTTTTTTTTTTTTCCCTGTTGTTCATCACCGCTGTCCCCTTCATCCTCCCCACCATTATCTCAAAATCAACCACAAATGATCAAATTAATTTGCTGAAATTACTGGAGGAATCAACATTTGTTGAGATTGCATAACTGGATATTTATTGTTTAACATTATGATGTTTGTTGAAGTTTCTTAGCCGATTTTTGAGGTATGCCTTGGAATTCCCTCAGGGAAGTGCCAACAAGTAGAGCTGTAGAGGTGGCTAGTAGAGTAGTAGGCAGAGGATGCAAATATAAGGGGTTAAGTGGTAGTTGATTCTAAACCGTGGATTGGAAGTGGTGACAGGGTAGATGGGCAAGAGAGGTCTAAGGGTTGTGCATGAAAGGGAGCAAGGGTGAAGGAGAAGTGAGGGGGTAGATTGTTTAATACTTGCTCTTAAGTTCGAGTTGTCAATTTTATGGGTACATTTTTGGAGAATTGCATCCTGTTGAAATTGACAACTGAAGTTTTTCAAAATAGAAGCCAGAATTTTAGACAACTAACCTTTATACAACAATAGCCATTTATTCATTTCAATGTTTTTTTTTTTTTTTTTTTTTTTTTTTGAGATCTGAGGTGTTGTTCTCAAATGAATTTTCCTTTTAATGCTCACCTTTTTTTTTTTTTTTTTTTCCTAATTAAGTACTAGTTTTCTGTATTTTTCCCCATAACAGAGTGTAGGATGCTGTGCTTTGTTTCATATAATCATTTATTGTCATTGCAGGTTAAGCTTTCAGAATATATTGGGAAGAAATATGTGATTCTCTTTTTCTACCCACTGGACTTCACATTTGTTTGTCCCACCGGTGAGTTCAAGAAATAACATAGCAGGACTTTCCACATGGCTATAATGAGTTAGACCTGTAATATGCTTGCTGAACTTGTTTCCTAAACAGCTCTCTTTTCATTTATTTTGCAGAGATCACTGCTTTCAGTGACCGCTATGAGGAATTTCAGAAGTTGAACACTGAAATTTTGGGTGTATCAGTTGACAGTGTGGTGAGTTATTTTCACAATTCAGTTCTTTATTGTATGCATGTGCCTCCATATTTTGATGAACATCATTATCATACTTTCTTTCTGACCTATAACTCACTTGGAAGATGGTTGTTTAGTTGTTAGCATCACTGCACGCCTTTTACCTTGATATTTGATACAACATGCTGGGGACGCAAATATTCAAAGCGCCAATCGTCTGATTCCAACCATGTCTGAATTTTATTCTTAATAGACTTTATGCAACATAGTCTTAGGTTTGTGTTCTATAATAGTTTTTGTGCTGCATTGCCATCATTAAACATTACTCTGTACTTTGGTAGTTGCAAGGGTTATCACTTCTGTTATCCTGATTTTTAGTAGCTTGTACTGGCTATTGTTCTTGCCTCTTCTCTTCTGTTTCTTGATATATGGTAACTACCATTTTATTTACTCATCTGCATGTTAACTTCTTTGCAGTTCTCTCATCTTGCATGGGTCCAGACAGATAGAAAGTCTGGGGGCTTGGGTGATCTGAAGTATCCGTTGGTTTCTGATGTCACCAAATCAATATCAAAATCTTATAATGTTCTGATTCCTGATCAGGTAAGAATGCGATTCTGTTAAAGATTACCCTTTTTGTTGATCCGTCCCAAGAAACAACTATTTGGGTTGCATGATTTAGTTGAAACTGCTTAATTTCAGCATTTCCCTTTTTAAAATATGCATGCTTATACAAGACATATGATGCTATTCTGATGTGTCTATCGTGACCTTTATACTTGGTGGTTGGTGTTTGTACTCTGAATTACCTTTGCTAAAGTACCTTTAATTGGTTTTCTATTCCCTTGCTCGTGGCTCGTGTAATCCAGGGAATTGCGTTGAGAGGACTCTTTATTATTGACAAGGAGGGAGTTATTCAACACTCGACCATCAACAATCTAGCTATTGGCCGAAGTGTTGACGAAACAATGAGAACACTCCAGGTAACCATAAAACTTGACGTTGCATTTTGGATCTTTTCAACCTTGGATTTGAGCTTGGTATGTGCTTTAAAGTGCGATTAAGAATATTGAAATCTGTGAGCTCTAGGGTATATAGGATTTCCCAACAATGCTTAACACGAGTTTGGCTCGTGAAAGATAAAAACGGAAGTGAAACATAAAGATTATCGGCCATTCTTTTTGACAATGTGGAAACAACAATTCCACAAACTCAATTGAGCATTAAGAAAACTGACATACTTTGGGTGCTCGCCTCAGGCGTTGCAATATGTCCAAGAGAACCCAGACGAGGTATGCCCGGCTGGATGGAAGCCCGGGGAGAAGTCGATGAAGCCAGACCCCAAGCTGAGCAAGGAATACTTTGCAGCTGTGTGAGCATAACGGGCTTAAACACTGCCACACAACCGCCCCACATCTCTTACATTTGAAGGGTAAATTTTGAATTATTAGTTGATAATTGCTAGTATTTATGGTTTAAGTTTGACTTTTCCCGGATCTCACTACAAACAATCGAGATTCTAGCAATTATCTATCTTATGAAAACAAAAGTATGAATAAGTATCAGACAGATTTTGGTTGACTGAAGAAATCCCATTATATATCACATGCAATCCTCAATTATCTATAGCAGATTCGTTTGTTGTATCATTAGTGGTTGGTTTATGACCTAACCCCCCCACCCCCTCCCATTAACCAGGATTCAGAAATGTTCAGTTTTGTTGGTTGAAATTCCTTAATCAAGCAGCAATAAGCATCTCCATCAATAATCAACCAATAATGTGTTTATCCATTTATAATTGTCATTATTGTTGCAGATCAGAATATAATTTATTCTGTAATCTTAGTAACAAAGCTTGTCCTGTCGGCTCACCTTTTAATTCATACCCACCAGCAACAAGACCAAATTTTTACTTTTTTTTTTTTTTTTTTTCTGGTCCACCGTATCGATGCTAATAAAGTAAAACTTATGAACTTATATTTTAAGTTGATCAATTGGGTTATATTCCGGGACATGAGATAATATTTATACTTAACACCCCGGCTCAACATCTTGTGCTCAATTGACAGTGCCTATATATAACTTGTTATACATTTATTTTTTAAAAAATATTATATATTCTTTATTTATTTTACAGTATATAATATTACTCAAAAAAAAATTTAAAAAAAAAAAAAACAAATAAGGCAAATGGAATATTGGGAGAAAACTGGATCTGTACAAGATCCACAAAAGCTGGAGATTTTCATTTTTTTTTCTTCCATTATGTATATGGAACATGTTTCATTACAAAAGGACACAGCCCCCCAGCCCCCACCCCACAAAAAAAATAGCACTAAGTTTTCTTGTTTGTGCAATCTGCATGCATGCCTTAGTAGGGCAAAACAACCTTGCAAAAACTATATATATATTATATCTATATTTACTGCAAAATGCTAAAATATCCATAATGATAAAGTGCTAGTGTCTTCTTTATCAGCACAATTCCTGTGCAGTGGGAACACCAGATTCTGCTAAACTCAGTCTTCCAACATCTTCCCAGATCAACTTGGATGTTATCTCATCACATTGTGGAACATATTCCTAGTACACAAGAAAAAAAAAAAAAAAAAAAAACCCCAAAATTGTGTCATTGGTTTATACTTCATAGAATAATCGTGAAAGTCTAAGGTGATGATAAAGGTCAATTTGCACATGAAGTTGCACCGAGTACTACAAGGGCACTTAGTATCCCTATAGTACCCGATACAACTAAAAAGTTCATTTTTTTATTATACCTAAGTGGTGGTTAGCATCTTAGAAAAACAATCATTTCGAGGTAAACTAGTCAATGTTTTAGACATAAATGGAAGAAGAATATTAGCTGAGATTGAGGTTTGAACAAATCAAAAAGTGGGTTTTTGAGGTTATGTTTGATCAGAATATTAAAACAGACAAGTCTGATTCCAAAAGCCAAAGTGTGGGTCACGCCATTTTACCAAAGAAAAGTGAGGCATTACAGGGGCCCAGGGAGCACATAAATTCCAACATAAACTAGTTCCAAGAATTCAAGGTTGTACTTGGGATAGTTTTTAAAGATGTTTTGAGGTGAATATAATATGTATGCTGAGAATGTTGTGAATATAATCTGAGATGATGTATAGTACCTCGAGTTCTCTGACCAGCTGTTTGGCTGTCGGGGCAGACACGATTATGCGACGTGCAGTTGGAGAGATGAAGCCTTCATCCACAGCCTTATCGATAAAAGACAAGAGGGAATTATAGTAGCCTTCAACATTCAACAGCCCCACCTGCATATAATATATTAAGGTTAGATAGAAAGATGAGCACAGAAGGATTAGAATAATATGAATGGTTTGCGGGATTAAGACAGACAAAAACACCCCATGCTTTGACCAAAATAAAAAATTTTATATTGCTAAGCACCTTTCTAAATCAAACAAATATCCACTAATGAAAAACGCCTAATCATGAAGCGTGACTATTATTAGGATTGCTAATCCTCAACAATCTTCCCATGTGAACCGAAATGAAGACCACGTGCATCATGATGCATTGAATATGATCAAGAAAGATGGCATTTTTCGCAAATATATGCAGCTCTGAAAGCTGAGAAGACGACAGTGTGTTGTGAATCACGGCAACATTATGTCAAAGTGTATGACGACTTTGGATGGGGTGCTTTCATGGCATCCAATTTTGGACTTGCAGAAAGTGAAGTGTAAAATCAAAGGTTGAAAATGGCCTACAATATGCACCAAAAGTAGACAAGGCAGCTGGAAATGACCATTCGCTTTTTGTTGAATAATAGACCCCTTGGAGTAGTCTTTAAAGGAATGATTGCGTGGAAGAATGATTTTTGTCAAAGGATATATGTCACACTATGACCATCTTACCGGCAATATTATCATCAACATTTTGATATTCTTATGTAAACCCACCACTAAAAGTCGAAACTTTTCTGCAAGAAAACCCTTTCCATTTAAATCTACCTACCTCAATCCTACTTACCTCTACAATTTTCAGCAGTTTTCATCATTAAGTACTTTCAACTAGTCTAAAAGTCGAAACTTTTCTGCAAGAAAATACCGAAAAGAAAGGGCAAACTCTCTTACAGGCTTACTGTGGATTCCAAGCTGAGCCCATGTGATGACTTCAAGCAATTCTTCAAGGGTGCCATAACCACCTGAGGATAAAGAAAATCGAATTCAGTAATGACCATGTTAAGACTTAAGAGTACTCCATTTCACGAAAACCACGATCAGATATTACCAGGGAGGGCAATAAACGCATCAGCTTTCCGGGACATCACAGCTTTTCTCTCATGCATATCAGAGACTGCTTTTACTTCTCCAATTGTTTCACCGGTAATCTGTTTAGTTTATTAACATCGTTCATTAGACCAAAACGACATAGGGAAACCTAAATTTAAGTTTGAAAGATGGTAAAGCATAAAGCTGCCTTTGTGTCTCTTCAGCATCAAACAATTAAGGCCCTACTGTCCTAAAGGTTGCGCCTTTTACACAGGCAAACATTTGCAAGAAAAGAAAATATGATTGGAAGTCTCAGATTATTACCTCTCTAGGCATGAGACTAGTTGGAATTACGCTGCAAAAGAAAAGAAAAAAAAAAAAAAACATCTCCAAATATTAATTATAATCAGTAATCACCATGCATCAACAATATCATTTTTTCTTAGTAGTAACACAGTGCTATTCAAGGCAAACAATTTCTCAGTTTGGTAATATTATAAGATAATAATGCACAAACCCCACTTAACTTTACTAGGAAGAAAGTATGTGCAATGTGCTTAACATTTCCACAGTAAGAAGGGTAAATGGATAGGAAAAAATAACATTTCCACAGTAAAGAATGAGATGTGTTAAGAAGTACCATTGTTTTAGTACTGAAAATAGCATTTCTTGTCAAGATATGGATATGGAAATGCTACAATCACTCCTAAAAGGCCTCAAACTTTCTACCATACCATACCCCTAAAAGGCCTCAAACTGACATTGCACAGAGCAAAATGCATTCCACTTTTTTCAATTCTGCTCATTAAAACAGCCCCAAAAGCTCAACACAAACACAAGACACTTGGAGTTATTTGCACTGTGAGAACACCTAAAAATGGCACTTTTCATTTGTTAGTTAAATGTCCACCATCAACAGAGTGAGAAACCAAGAAAAAAAATGAGCTTTTTACTGTGCCAAAAGGCAAAAGAGAAAACAAGAGCCACTTTTAATTATCAGAAACCAGCATATGATCCCATGATGTCTGGCTTTGGGCAGTATAGAAGAAGCCAACTTCATAGAGAACTGGGAAAAAACTTGCATGGTTTCAACTTTAAACCAATTGTATAATGAAGGGAGGCCTCCATTTTGAAACAATCCATAAAAAGATAGGTATTATTATGAGGGTAAAATGATGGATGTCTTTCCAATTTCCCAATCTTTTACTTCACATTCAAACACCAACCTTTTTCTCTATATGTGTGTATATTGTTCTTGGACGACGAAACAAACTCACATCCACTATACTATAGTTAACCAGCTCAAATAAAAATATTTTTCTTGGACCACGAAACAAATTCACAATCATTATATATAGTTAACCAGCTCAAATAAAAAAGTAAGTTGCCCCTATATGTGTATATTATATTCATAAACATGAGAGAGGGGGAGAGAGAGAGAGAGTACCCTAGAACATGGCGCCCTCCATCATGAACTGCCTGAGAAACAAGACCCATCAGACCCACGCTTCCACCTCCATACACCAAATCAATCCTTCTCTCCACCTTCAAAGCACATAGAAGAAAACACTTGTCAGGAACCCCATTACTACACTTCACAACCTCCACCATCATTTCAATGGAGTTTTATATAAACAAAAACCAAAACCTCTACTGGCAGGACTATAAGAAAACACTAATAAACAATTCTGATGCATGTGATTATATATATATGCAAAGGAATATAATGGATTATATCAAAAACCAGGAGAGAGAGCTTGAAACTAAAAGAGTCATGATTTCAAGGTGGCACGTTTGGTTCCCCATGGAAAGGTAGCAAATTTTTTAAGGACTAATGTCCCCATAAACTACAAAAGATCATGCAAGAAGGCTGCTCTCAATTGACAGCCATGTTACAGCTAGCACCCCAACCCCCTCCCTCTCTCTCTCTCTCTCTCTCTCATGCCAAACGAAACATAAACCCTAAACCTTCCCTGCCATAATGTCCCCATAAGGATCATCAGAACAATCTAAAGCCATGTTTTTTATGGTAAAGAATGGCAAATAAACAGACTGAGATTAAACTAATACGTTGAATGAAAATGGAGCAAAGCTAGAAGCTTTGGTAATGAAAATGAGAAACGGGCTTTCAATTCAAACGCAATTTTGAATCTTTAACATGCCCGAAAGAAATGGAGAGAACGTGCAAGATTGGGTATCATAGAAAATAATTTCAAAAAAGCTTTTTTTTTTTTTTGTTTCATTATGGGTTCTGGAAAACAACGCAGCAGACAAAGAAGGAGAGGCAAAGAAGAAGAAAAAGAACGATACACACCAGAACTTTGCCTAATTCAATGGCGGCTTCTTGGTAGCTTGGTTTCTTCCCAGGACTGCTCCCACAGAAAACACAAATTCTCTTGAATCTAGATCTTTTTTCGGCCTCCATTGCTCTCTATCTTCTCTCTCTCTCTCTCTCTCTCTCTCTCTAAATATATATATATATATATGTATAAATCTATATAAATATATATATATATTGCTAAACCTGAAACAATGATCTCTTGAACTATATAGAGAGCGAGAAACTAGAGAGAGGGAGAGGTTTGGGTTTTTTCGGATGAATGAAAAAAACTGAAGTATGGGTGTGTTTATACGGACGCATGACCCCATGTTCGTGTTTTTTTTCTTTTTTCTTTTTCTTGTTTTTTATTTAAAATATATTTTGTATTTTACAATTATTTTTATTACAAACAGTACGATTATTGGGCAAACATGTACCTCGGACTCTCGGAGACTTTTTTTTTTTTTTTTTTTTTTTTTTTTCCTGCATACATTCTCTGTGTTCTACTCCGTATTTGCAGTGGTCCATATAGAATTTCAGATTATTGTTTTTTTTTTTTTTAAGTAAAAAAAAAAATCTGAAATTCTAAGAAAGTAGTTCCCAAATATTTATATTATGATAAATAAAAGGTTTCAAGGATTCTTGTCTTGACCCCTGACCTGTGAACCAAATGAAACACGAGGACAAGATGATAACACCCAACTTTAATTTTGTCTTTGCTTTGTCCAATATATTTTTTGGGTATTAAATGGGGAAGAAAATCTCAAATTAATATTATTTAACTTTAATCAAATATCCCATGAGAATTGGTCAAGATCGAGTATGTTTAGCCCAACAAACGACATAGACACAACCATAGATTGCATTCATGAAATGGGTTACAAAGTTAATGTTGATTTTAATGTGTGAGACTTTGTTATTACTTAGAAAAATGAAAATTTTGATGAGTAAAGAGTGGTTGGTGTGGATGAGGATGAGAATGAGGAGTCTAGTGATCGATTGTTCTCAATGAGATTGTTTATAGTCCTTGTTCGGGTTAAGTGATCGATCTTAGGCGGTCAATTTTGAATTTGGGACACAGTCTCTCATATATGAAAGTGTGTTTCGGCATGAGTTGTTACCATATTTTAAGAAGAGTTCTTGCCATATTACTCGTTCAATCAATTTGGCAATAAAAGACTTTAGGGATTTATATCTTTTATCGTCTTCAATTATGAATGACAATGGGGTGGGTGGGTGCGGGGGATATATCCCCTGCCCTCGCACCCGTATTCCCAACCCTCACTCTCCGCACCCACTCCTGCGCGGGTAATGAAATTCCTACCCCATACCCGTCCCAGCGGGGATTTTGCGGGTGCTAGTAATACCTAACCCGCAACTCTAATTATTAATATTGCACTTAAATCTAATAAAAATTTTATACTACAATTCTAATTATCACATGAATTTTTTTATAAGTTTGAAAATAACTCTAAAATTTAATAAGAGTCAATGAAGTTAGTCCTTAATTAGAACTAAAATTGTATTGGTAAAATAACTTGTATTAAGTGTTTATTCATTATGTTATTTGTGTTGTTCCTATTCAAATTTCATAAACATAAAACTAAGAAGTTTAATTTATTATGCATTTTTAATTATAAAACATACATAAACTTATATAATAAATGAATACTAATAACAATATATATAAGTATGGGTGCAGGGAGAGGATACCTCCGCCGCACCCGCCCCATACCCGCGCGGGTATACAAAATTCCCCCATACTCACACCCATTATCTAAATTGTGCGGGTATTATAAAATTCGTAGGGATAGGGATGCGAGGAACTCATTGGATGCGGGTAGAATTGTCATCCCTATATTCAATTGCACAAATCAAACATTTACCATTACTTTAATATATAGTATATAGTTATACTAATAGCAAAATAATAACTTTATTTTCTTATATTTATGTAGCACTCAAGACCACATTTCAATAGTATAATATAATATACATGACCTTTACAAACTACCGGTCAGTAATTACTCATTTCGGGTGGATTCTAGCCACCGATGTTAACAAATCTAAACTAAAAAAAAAAAAAAAAAAAAAAAAACATTATTGTCAAAGATTTATTTAGCAATCACGACAAATTTGTTTCTAAATGGAATGTTGGATCATATTTATGTATATAATATATAAACTTTAAAGAATATGCAGAATTGAACGATAGGCCTTCGCAAAAGATTTTGCAAATATTGCCGATTTGCCGTCGTACTTAGGATATGATTACGTGAACCATCCACTTATCAACTTGATTATTAAGAAATATATTTTTGCTAGTTGCGTTCTAAGTCAACTTATATGGTTGTTCTATACCAATAAAACAAAATATGGTTTATATTTTTCTCCAATTATCAAAACAAAGGGTTACATTTGCATACGTCAATATTACCTCATTTAATTAATTTCAAATAAATTTACATTAGCAGTCGGCTTATCAATTACTCCGTGTTAGTTATATTCCTTTAATTGAGTAAAATCCGTTTATGGTAAGAGTGTCTATAATAAGCCCATTACATTGTGTAGTGTAACGTAACCACTATTGCCAAGTTTTGGTCGCGTATATTTTTCCACAATCTATCATATAAGAATTAACTGAACTAATATGTGTATGCAACACAAAACTTGCTTCATGGAGTCTTTCCACATACTCCATCAAGCCTATATAAGAAAATTCAAGTATAATTAAGAATCATGTTTTTCCACTCCAACACTCTTTCGGGGTAATATAGTTATTTCTTCTCTCAAGAGCTCCCCATACCCCGGTCCGACAGAGTATTTGGGAGGATCTAAATCACAGTGATTCGATGACTCAGCAGATAAAGTCAAATAACGATGTATACAAGGGATCTATCCACTTTGGGCATAATTTTCACATTACCGCTGCCAAGATTCAAACCTTAGTCTCTTCTTTCAGATTTTGCTTTCTAAACCAGTGTGTTAAGCTCGTGAGGGCACTTATATAGTTATTTCTTAGAACATGGAATGCACTTAATTAGCTACCTTCCAAATGATTAATAAGTTGTTTATTATCGCATGCAACTCGCGCATAAAAGTCTCCATTCTCCAATCCTTTGGGAGTGCACCACCCAATTTGTTTAATACAGTTGGTAATATTTCTTAATTAAGTAATAAATAAATATACTTTAATTTAATTAATTAATTAGTAAGTAATCATACGGTCCTACCAAAATGCAAGTGGGTCTAAATTAATCTATTTTTACGCTCTTTGCATTGTCCAAGAATAATGAAACGTTTATTCTTAAACTCTCTTGGTTGTGCCTTTTACACGGATTATTTTAATATAATTTATTTTTTATATGTGATTTATAAGTTATTATGTAAGAATTGAGTTTATCCAGCACATACCCCTAATCATGAGTTTCTATCATCATCAAAATAAAAAAGAATAATAAAGCATGGGACAAATTTTTTTAGTAGTGAAGCCAAGGTGATAATGGGCCTGTTTAAACGGGCCTTTATTTTATTGGGCTTGAAAACATAGTCAGAGTTTTTGTTCCCTTACACTTCGAGTTGTTATACCATGGATCAGGGGTGGACCCTGGTCCTAAATAACGTATAAATTGTATATTTTTAGTATTGAAATTGTGAACTTTTAGAATATAATATTTGTACTTGATTCACAGAATAACTTGCGTTACACTTCAATTCTTATCCTTCATGTAATAATGTATATTGTTAAATAAAACTGTAGTATAATTAAAATGATACATTAGTATTACTATAATAAAAGTAGTGTGTAAAAAATGAAACTAAAATTGAAATGTAATTAAAATGATGAATACTTTATTTGCTATAAACTTAGCATCTCAAATTCAAAATTAACTTCATGAAAGATCAATTCAAATATACATAGACATGACATTAGCCACCCACTGATATTACTTTTATCCTTACAATATTCTCTCACTTTTCAAAAATGAATCTACTTCTACATTATTAAATTTATAATTCCATTATTTTTCCCTAGATCTTACAATATTCTTTCACTTTTAAAAATTGATAAACTTTATAAAAAAAAAAATCAACAAACAAAAATAAATAATTTTTTTTTTAAATGTTACCACAACTATCGCATGCTTAGCCTTTTATACTTAGATGCAAAATTGCAACACATGTCTCCATTTTTGTTAACTCTAAAAGCATCTTCAATAGTTAGTTTTTTGCACAAATTTTAAGATGTTAAGTAGGAAAGAATGATGAAGGAGATTTTTATATATAAAAAAAAAAAACTAGAAAAATAAGTTTTCAGGGAAAAAAAAAAACTATGGTAACACGTCTAGTGGCCACGTGCAGTTGTTGTGCCTCACGCGAAAAAATGCGTGCTTTATTCATATTTGGTGGGACTTACTTCAGAAATCAAAAATACGTGTCTTGTTCATATTTGGTGGGACTTACCCCGCATTTTCTCTTTTTTCATTTCAATCAAAATATCATTAAAAATTTGAACAAAAATTATTATTGTAATTGCTCTTTAAAGTATAGATTCAAATCTCTAAGCTGGACCAACAAAATTCGAGGGACAATTGAAGAAGATGGAAGGAAGACTGGAAGAGGGATGGGCGCATGGGGGATATGTGCAGTCGGGTAATTAAGGTTGGAAAAGGTGAAAGAGAGTGAGAGATAGAAATGGCACTGTAATTATGTTTTGGTGCTGACATTGTAATCATTGTGCTTCTTGCTTGATTTATGCAATATGACTGATAGATTGACGTACTCTCTCATTGTGCTTGCTTTGTTATCATTTTTTCTTTTCATAATAACACACAAATCAACCTCACCTCCTCGGAGCAACAATTTTTTTTTTTCATCCAATTGACTAAAGTTTTACAATCTTAGAGCATCTCTAACAATGCATTTTAGTGAATTTTTATAGAAATTTTAGCATAAGGACATCCACAATGATTATCTTCTTATGAGTGTCTTATATTCACATTTTGTGAGTCCAATTATTCTTTTTCTCCTTTTAATATTTACTCTTATTTTCTTTCCAACCCTTCTCCTCTTTTCTCCATTTGTTGTGAGCTATATCATTTCTCACTCCTACACATTATATATTATTTTATTTACTTTTTCTATAGTTTCTTTTTGAAAGCCAACCAAATAATAATTGTATTAATGAATCAAAGCTGCAATCGAGTCAGGAGGGATAGAATCCCAATATATAAACTGATCCTATGAAAAAGCTAATGATG